ACTTTCTTAAGTAGGGCCTAGACACCTTGTTCATAAGGGCTTAGAAGGGATGACAGGTCACTAATCGTGCCACATGGCATGACAAAGAACTCATAATGCTCATAATGCCCTTCATGAGTTCTAAAAGTTGCTTTAGGCATAACGCCCTTGGAGAACACTATAGTTGCCTTTACTTCATCTAATAACTCATCTATAATGGATATGAGAAAACTATCCTCGACATTGATGTGATTAAGGGCCTTATAATCCATACAAAATCTCCAACTTCCATCCTTTTTTTGATGAACAAGGCTGGTGAGGAGTATGAGTTAGTTTTAGGTTGAATGATTTTCTTTTCCAACATTTCCCTTGTTTCTAGTAATGGGAGTACCTATAAGGCCTAACATTGGCTGGTAAGGCCCTAGGGAGGATGGAAATGTAAAGGTCTTAGGCTCTTGAAGGAGCCCACTTGAGTCTTGGAAAATATCTTTATATTGTTATGACAACTTTTGGAGAGCTTCTTGGGCCTCGAGGTTCAGCTCACACTCGTCACTTTTGGTCACAATTGATCTGGTGTGGGTTTCTTCTCATGAGTACTGGCTAGTTGTATTATCAATAGAATTTTAACAAGGTATATAAGGAATCAGGCTGGTTGGGCCTGCCCTTAGCCCATGATACACTTCCATTGATTGCCTAGCTTAAAATCCATGGTCACCCTAGCCCAGTCACATAAAACTAGGCTCAATTGCCTTAGCTAGATAACCCCCAAAACAATGTTAGTTCTATTGAATTAAAGGGGATATAAGTTCACAGTGTGTGTCTGCCTTACATGGTAGCTTATTTCTATTTGCCACATGGACCTTGATGTATAATCGGTCCCACCCATTTTTCTAAGTCATGGGCTATGAAGTTTAGTGAACTCCAACGATCAATCAAGATAGTTACATTCCAACTTTGTAAATCACCGTCAACTCTCATGGCTTGGGTGGTTTCGAGCCCAATAAGGATCTATAACAAGATTTTTGGAGCTTCAAGGCTTGTCAATTGGTTTAGTTCTTCTTAGGTTATTTGGTCAATTACTACCAGGTTCTTCCTTTGGTTCTTTAGTATACAACAAGAAGGCTTGTCGGGCCTTAGAGTAGTGTCTAAACCTTAACTTCATTCTCATGATGGGCTTGCATCTCGATCCAGGTCAAACTCTTCATGGGTACCACATTTTGGGCCAGTTGAGTTGAGAGTCTTTATTATAGTGGTTTTACCTGCAAGGGAGGGTTCTTAAGGACAGGCCTATTGGGTCAGCCCATCTTGTTTAGTTTGTTTTGCTTTTCTTGAAAAATGGTGGGCCAACCCTACAACAACCATAGCTGTGGTGGGTTGCATGGCTTCACTTCAACCCTAATGTCATCCTTGAGACTACCTACAAAAGAACCCAAAAGTGTCTTCTCTTACTACCCTTAGACTCTAGTTGTTAACTTTCAACATGTAGTCCTTGATTGAGCCTATCTATTTAAACTTGGATAGGATCTTATCATTATTTTCAAACCTTATTGGGCCAAAATGAATGCACAATGCTTCTGTAAAGTCTTTGGAGGTCACCTAGGGATCAGACTGATGGAACCTTTTAAACCATCCATGCCTTACCCCAACTATATAAAATCAGTTACATGAATCTTATTTCACCAATCCGTTTTATTTAAAGCCATATTGTTAATTCTGTTGACCAAAAACAAATGAATCAATACGTTCTTATAATAATAGATCAATATCTCTAAGAAATTTAAACTGAATGCCTTCATTGAGATTTGATTTCAAATAGCAATAGTAGGTTTGATATTGTGAATGCAGCTATTTAACACTGAAGAAAGCCTGTGTTTGACAGCTTGTGCAGGTTGCTGTCTCAATTTACGAGGCCTACATATCTGACCCTAACCTGAGTACTAATGGTCTAGGGAGGGATATACACGCTGACTATGTTCAAGTTAGAAGAGGTGTTCAAAGATTAGTTTTGGAAGGCCAGGCTTCCATCTGCATCAAAGAGGTGTTCAAAACCAAAATAGAAGCAATTGAAAGGGTGTCAGGGTGGTTATGGCGCTTCCAAGGGATTTTAGTTTCTCTGACTGCATCTTGACCATCTAAAGTGTTCAACAGCAAGGGCATGATTTTGTAGGTTAGGGGTGTCAATAGACCGATTTTGGGTTGGACTCCATCTAAATCAAAATTCATTTGGACAGATTGGACGGACCAATAAGACATTAAATTTGGACAGACTGGATGGACCAATATAACATATTGGATTGGATCTGGTCCGTCCATAATGAATTTATATTGGATTGAGCCAATATCTGATCCAATGATAGAAGATAAGAACATAGGTGTCAGTGGATCAGGTTTGAGTTGAAACCAATCTAAATTAACAGGAATTTGAACAAATTGAATAGTCTCTAGACCGGTCCAATATGGTCCAAAATATTCATTGGACTGGATTGGACCAGATCCATTTGTAATGAACTCACACTGGACTGGACCGCATTGGACCAAATCCAGTCCAATTGACACACCTAGTTGTGGCATCTGCTTCCTGGGGCTGTGTGCTGAGCCATTTGGCAGAAGAATTATAATAGTCTTCAACCAATAAGGTTCAGAGATTGAAAGACTGATTGGGAACACCTGGGAGAAAGAGCAAGCAAATTTGTGGGGAAAAAAAAATAAAGAAACATCATTTGAGTACTTAAGGGGCAGAGGTTAGTGCCCTAACCTGAACACCGTCAAGTTCAATGGAGAGACTGAGCCGCAGTCCGAATACTATATGGCCGTTGCCTGCAAAAATGAGGCTGTATTACTTCTCAGTGATCTAAGAAAAGATGCCTACAGAAAGACAGGGTGCCGACTAGCACTAATTGAGCCCAGCTTGGTATCAAAGGAGCATATATTTGGCAAGAAGAAAATTCACCTGAAGAGTAAAATTTCATGAGAAAGGAAGGCTTCATGAGATCTCCATAGAATTTAACAACAGTAGCAGCAGTACCAATACTAACAGTTGTGTTGGTGGGTTCAACCGAGAAATGGAGATAAAGGTAGATGGGAAGCTAGCAATCTATGTCAAACACCTTCACCGGAAATTCAGAGGTAATCGATATGTCGCCATTCATAACTCACGATCCATTAATGATAATTACCAAATTGTCGCATTTCAAAAATTCGGGTATTAGATTGTCGTATTTTAAAGTTTGGATATTAAATTGGCACTTGGCCTAAAGTACAGAGTACCTATTGGAAATTTTCTTTTAAAATTAAATCAAATATAAGAAGTCACGTGTAAAATATAAACTGCACGAGACCTAACAAGAAGGGAATTGTGTGTCAATTGTCAGAAATAATAAAAATACTTTAAGATAATACTAAAACAATAGGGGTACAAATACAAATATGAATAAAATAATACAAAATATAAGGTTTTGCACTCTACATATTTGTATTTGTAGTCCTTCTAAATGAAGCCTTCAAGTTTCAATGCCAGCAAAAGCAAAAAGGTGATGGACCCAAAGTTGGGTCAACCCATAAACTGTTTATACTCTATAGTTGGGTTAACCCATATACCTCACACCAATATTACAAGTACATCCTACCATCATGGTTCAAAATATCGATACGATATGCCCCATATCCGGCGTATCGTATCATATCTTTTGATCTCGGTACATCTATTTACAGGTGTTTCGAGACCCTCACTTATTTCAATAAAAAAATTAGAAAACATCTTTAAAAATCAAATTACAAAAATACTAAAAGAAAATCCATTGAGTGAATATTTTTAGTACCGATACACCGGGGCATATCGATACTTTAAGCCATGACTACCATATATCGAAAATATTTTTCATATTTATGAATTATTATTCATGATAGATGTTCCTTATGCACGGTAGATGTGAAGAGCGCCGTGTAAGGTAGGGGTGAGCATTCGGTTTATTTGGTTAAAAACTGAACTGAATAAACCAAATTTTTTAAAACTAAAATATTAAAATGAAAACCGAAATCGAAACCAATTTTCAATAAAACCGAAATAACTGAACCAAAATTTTTGGTTCGGTTTTCGGTTATTTCTGTTAAAAACTGAATTTAGTTATATTATATAATATAACCTATAATATATATTATTATAAAATTTAATTTCATTGTAATAGATTATATATAATATATTAATTTATAGATATATAGCATATTATATATATACAATATTATATATTATATAATGAAATTTAGCTAATTTAGTTTTTTCAGTAAACCAAAATTTTCAATTTAAAAATTAAAACCGAAAATCGAAATTATTAAAAACCAAATTAATCGAACCAAATTTCTCAAAAACTAAAAAAATCAAAACGAATTTAACCAAAACCGAAATTTTCGATTCGATAACCGATAATGTTCACCCCTACTGTAAAGAGCATCTGGTTTCGTGAAACGGGTGCTTAAATTAAAGGTGCCGTACACCGTAGGACCATTTGGTTTATTGGGTCCGACGTTGAGGTACGTGATGCTTGTGTAGTGACCACTAACCAAAGTTGGTCAGTTTATATAAATTTTGGATTTTGAGAGGCCTCTCAACCACTCTCGCGTGGACAATGTAGTTTAATTGAATTCATAATCTATCTTAATTAAACTAATTTATCTTAGCTAATTAATTTAACTTAAATTAATCGATCGATTAAATGAGAGGGGAGAAAGAATTAGTGTTAGTTTAATTATATTCATTTAGCTCAAGTAACTTAGATTAATTAATATATTAACTTAATTAGATTATTTAAATAAAATTAATTAAGGATTAGCATATATAGATAAATAAGTAATGGGAATCAGGCCAATGCAATCCATAAATAATGAAAAATAATAATTACTAATTAAATATAACTTTGTAAATAAACATCATATATAACAAAAAGAAAATATATGAATTTAAAATATGCTATATTTCCATAGAGTAAATATTCTAATTTACATTAATTTTAAAATCGAAATGCAGGTTTATATTTCCTTTCAATATCCCTTCCTTCATCGCATTCGATGTCATACAACATTGGTTTGTAGGAGATGGCAGCGACGATTAGGACAATGGCATGACCATTTTATGGAGATTTCTCGTGTATTTCCGTCATGATGTACAGTCAGCTGTGGTTGTCCATCGTGTTCATGATGTGCAATCTCCTGGGTTGTAGCCAAATGGGGTTGTCCATTTTGATCATTATCCTCACATTTACGTCGCCATAAGCAAATAAAATAAACAAGGAGAGCAGAAGCAGAACCTATTCCAACAACAAAGTATATGCTACGAAGGCTGTACAGAAGGGTCCAAACATGTTTGATGTCCAAAATATTTATTTTCAATTCCATCCAACACTTGATTTTCAGAAATCGCCAAAATTTGTTCAGACACTTCAGATATCATAGTGGAGTACTTTTTCTGAAATGCCTTCAAAGAAGAAAGGGTGATGCGTTTTAGTAAGGAATTGCAGCAATACACAATCATTCTTCAATCTTACTGAAATATCGATCAATTCTTAATATAAATACAACATCAAAGTCTCATGCTGAATATCCTTCTCTGTCGAGAAACAACAAGGAAGAAAGGGTAACGCATTTACCTGGATGTTTATCAAGAGAGACACATTTTGTTCAATACAAAGTACACCTTATCTCTCTTTCTCTAAACGTTTATATGATGTATCCAAACAAAGCCCAAACAATAAAATGCTGAGTTGATATACCTTGCTCAATTTATTTTTAAAACAACTCAACATAATGAAGCCAAGGTTCAAAGTTTCGCAATGTATGGTATCTTTGAGGGGTTGGCATGGGAAACACTACAAAATCTTTTGTATCCTATCTTTTTGTCATGTTGATACAATATTATAGCTGTAAAATAATTAAAAATCTTTGAGAAAGAAGTCTTCTAACTCTCTCCAAAAGTATTCTCTCTTCCAAACTCACAAAGTTGTCCCCACACATTCTTGGGATGCAAGATCTTTAAAAAAAAAATACCACCAAAACCATCTCCAAAACTCCTGATTTTTAAAGTTTTTTCAACTTTTTCAAATTTGCGAAAGTACATTTCTTTCAATTTATTTGATAATATGTTGAAATATTTTGTTTGTTTTTTTCTCTCTTTCTGTTTTGATGCTTGGAAATACTTATATGTACATAGGTATACTTGTGTTGAAAATCCTATATTGTTTGGTAGTCTAAATTGATATATGTAATTTTTTAAAGAAAATTCAGACATATAAAATAACAAATAAAGATAATTTTAGATTGTTGATGTAATTTGCTCGTGAAGAATAATTATGCCATAAATTTATGCACGATCTACTATACCCATAGATCTATTGAAATTTCTTGTAAAATATTAATTCTTTTATTTTTTTGTTATTTTTGAAATAAAAATATTTAGTTTTTTCACTAGTAGTATGATCTAATGTAAAGATCTATTATATTGTGGATCTATGGATGACCTACCATATCCATAGATTTATTAAAATTCAATATGAAATATTTATTTTTTAAATCTTTTATAATTTTTGGAATAAAAAATATTTATTTTTTCTTATTTTTATGTGATTAACCATAAATATTTATTATGTTTCAAATCAATGGATGATTTACCATATCCATAGATCTGTTGAAATTTCTTGTGAATTATTTATTTTTCCTTTTTTTATAATTTTTAGAATAAAAAATAAATTTTCTAAGTTTTGGTGTGATCTAACCATAATATTTACTATGTTGTAAATATATGGATGACCTATTATATCCGTAGAGTTATTTTTTGTTATAAATTTTGGAATAAAAAACAAAATAATTGTTTAAAAAATTACAAAAAGGTATTTCATTAAATAATTTTTAGGATTATATTTTGTAGGTATAACCCTATTAGAGAATACTCTTATGTTTCTGTATGTTGATTATCATATATTTTTTCATAATAATCACTAAAACATGTGATTTTTATGTATATATATAATTCATTTTAGCCATATATTTCATGTTATTGACATATTTTTTTGATTTGTTAGAGTATCTATAATGCTTCCATGTGTAGCTTAATTTTTTGTTTATATCCATGCATATCTTGATACATCTCTTAAATTTGTCTTTCTGATATACTTATCGTTTCCAATACTTTGAACCTTGAGTGAAACTTTAACCCAACCCAGGAATGATACCATCATCTCTATTTCTTGTAGCAATTCAACTAATTGGACTGAACTACCTCTTTTGGAGATTTAGGTTAAGAATGCTCTACTCAGCCATGGAGTCATGGGCTATGTGGATGACTCTCATGTGTCTTACAACTCCTATGTATTGAGAGGTGAGTTGCTTGAATCAAGCAAGATCAGTTTCCTTTGAGTTGGCTTCTTTCCATGTCATCTCAAAATAATAAATAGTCATATTTCCATCTTGATGGCTCTTCTCACAATTGTTTTTGAGTTTCACTCGGATTTTTCCTTGTAAAGGATAGACAATCAGGACAAATACTGCTTCACAGTATGGATGAGCAAGGCCTCTATAGATGGACTAGTCCATTGACTCACTTTGCATTTGTTAGTGAAAGGACTTCCATCAATGTGTGGTATAACCATTTAAGGCATTCTTAAAAGTTCATAATTTGTCATGTTGTCAATAAAAATGTTCTTTTTATTACCTTTAAGGAGTTTCTCTTTCTATCAACCTTACTTGCTAGGGAAAAGTCACCATTTATCATTCTATGATTTTAAAAAGTAGGTTCCTCTCTTGGAGATAAATATGCACCTACCATGTATAAGCTCGTGCAATTTATATGATCCAACCATTATGATCAAGTTGGGATCAAACTCTCTATATCGTTATCCGTTAGATAGTGTATGCCCTTATCTCCAATCAAACTGATGTACATAAACATTTATTTGTAAATAAATAAATTAAATTGTTGTTTCATGTTCGTATTAGTATGTTTTTTTGTATATTACCCCTTAAATTGGATGCTTAAGAGACTCGTGTTAGTGTGTTGCCAAACAATTGGAGCAACTTGTCTCAATTGCTAGGATTAGACCCCAAGCCCGACCAATAGGTGTTGTTCAAAAGCATTGAACTTATACTTATTTTCAGTTATGCCCTACACCTTGGAGATAGATGGGCAAGACTAGAAAGTTACACTTTACCCCAGACTTGATTATGGTACTACACTAGGTGTTGGACTAAGATGTCTTTGATGTACCAACTAATTACATCTATCAAGAGTCAAATACTTAGGCATGTTGGATAGTTTGGGAAATTACCAAAGTGAGTGATCATAGTGATAGGATTGGCCCCTTTGTCGAACAAAGTGAATATCAGGGTTTACACTCTCTAGTGGAAACCTAAACTGCCGACAGTGGATTTCAACTATATTTGAAATATGATTTTGCAAAATGTATTTATACGTTATACTACTATTTTGCGAAAAAGGTTTTAATCCCGAGATCCATCCGAATAGAGAGTGTGACACTACATCTTGTAGCCAAGAGAGATGTTCTTCCTTGTCGCACAGTGTTGTCATCATTATGGGCCAAGAGGTTAAGTATAAGAGACCATTATAAGGTTGATTACCTTATGGGTTTTATTTTACATAAGTCCATTATCCTTGGGTTTTCATAGGGTGGCTGAATCTAAGAATCATTTAGATATACATGTTGGGCCCAAACTGAATCAATGTTGATTGGGTCAGGGGTTCACTACCCTAAGGAGTAAATATGGCTTAGCCTTTTTCAGGGGAATTAACGAACTCTCATGGACTTGAGTGAGACCTTTGTGAAGTCCCACGCCATACAATATCAAGCCCAAAGTGGCCATGCAACACCTAAGGACATGAGCCTTTGAAGAAAATGGGACAAAGGCCCATAACTAATAAGATTAGTTAAGTTGTCCTGTGATTTTGGTTGAAATTGGGCATGGTTCTGGGTATGGAACACCTATCCTCTTAAGAGGATAATTCTTATCTCTTAAAAGAGTGTAGATCTAAATCAGATTTGAATAATCACCTAATTAGATTAGGAGAGTACCCCATATAAGAGGGTTAAGAGGAAAAGGGCAAATAGAACTTGTTCTCTCCTCTTTTCTCTTCTCTCCTAGAAACCCTATCACGAACTACCCATTGAAAGAATTGATTTTTATCAGTTTTCCTTTGTTTTTGCAAGAAAAAAATGCTGGGGGAAATCAGATTCACAAATCTCAATTGATCCAATGCAGTTGTATAGCAGTTTTGTAAAAAATAGTGTTGTTGAATTGGCTTCTCTTTCACTACGTTGTCTTCGGTTGGAAGCCGGTTTTTGGGACTGATTTGGGGCATGAATTACTACTCTAGGAGCTGCAATTTTTTGATTCCATATCAGGTACAATTAGTTTTAATTTCGATTTCAAATATAGTCCGGTTTAGTGCAAGATCAATCTAAAAATTTCAGATTTCAAAATCTCTGGGAAACTGGTTCACAAGTGGGGTTAGAAAATTTTTGAAATTAGGCCAGCCATTAAACCTGGTTTGGCTATCCATAATTTGGATTCTAACCTTTCCAACATTTTGTACACATCCCTTTGCTATGTATATCTTTATTCCTTGTACGTACAAGACACCCACTTGCTCTTGTACTTTATCTATTATAATTGAAAACACATATAAATATACACCAACACAGGTTGTTAAGGTTGTGTTCAATTGCATCCAATTTCATGAGTGTTTCATGGTATTAGAGCCATAACTTTGACCACTACTAGAAGATCTTGCATCACATTCTCACATATCACCTGTTAATTCACACAATAGTTCTACTACAACCTCTCAATCTCGATAAGCATCCAATTCAAGAGAAACCATTAGGCAAATCATGCTCTACTGATTAGCATCAAACTAGATGGGCACAATTACATGATATCGAAGTTATAGTTTCTTACTATATTGAAATCCAAATGGATCCTAGGGTTCATTGATGGCTTACATAAAGCTCTACCAAAGTTCCAAAGAATTTGACATCACCAAGAAACCTCTTTTTGTGAAATTAATCCATAACCGATTTATCATTATTTGGTTATTGTATCCCTCACTAAAGCTCTCATGGCTCAAATTGTTGGGTGTACCACCTTTCATAAAAGTCTGGAACACCCTTGAAACTCTCTATGCCTCCCGATCACATTTAAGGATTGTTCAACTTTGTTTTGAACTTCATTGGCTAAAGATAGGAGCACTTTCTATGGGTGAGTATTTACTTCAAATCAAATCTATTGTAGGCAAGTTGGTTAACTTAAGAGCTCCAATCTTTGCTACTAACTTACTCTATCGAACTATTAAGGTTGTCTTTGGTTGCAATGCAAATAAATTTGCACTGACGCAAAACTATGTTAGTGCAAATGATTTGAGTATAAATTTTGACCTGTAATTGTTTCAAATTTTAGTTTATTTTGTTT